CAGATTACTTTGCCACACCCATCAGCCAGATTTTTCACCTCTCTGTAGAAGCTGGGCGCCTGCCCACCAACTGGGAATATGGATGCCGAAGCACATAGGTGGAAATCCTCTTGACCCTACGAACTATCGCCCAATCTGTCTGGCATCGATAATTTTCAAGGTCATGGAGAAGCTACAGAAGCACAGATCTGACCTGGACATCACCTCCACTGCACAGCACGGCTTTCAGAAGGGACGCTCCTGTACTACGGACTACTGATGGTGATGTAAAATGAACAAGATTAACAGATGCCGGCAAACGCCTAGATGTTGTCTTCGTTGACTTTAGCAAGGCGTTTGCCAAGGTCTCACATCGGTGATTATTGTACAAGCCCCGGGAAATTGGTGTCAGTGGACGCCTATACTAGTGGATCGGCGACTCCTTGGGAGACAGAACCATGCAAGTGCAAGTGAATGAAACCCTTTCACAGCCAGTGCTAATGACCAGATGAGTCCCGCAAGAATCTGTCCTCGAACCTGAAATTTTCAAGCTGTTCATCAATGACCTTCCCAAAACGCTTCAAACCGAATGCCTGATGTATATTGATGACCTCAAGGTTTAGTCAGAGGTCTCGGACCTCGATACTGATGGTAAACCACAGACCAAGCTGGATCTACTACACGACTTGTCCACAAAGTTGGTCTACCTATCAACCATGTCAAATATCTGTCCTCCCGACTGGTGTGTCTGATCCAATTGGCACCTACTATATTGATTTTCTCCTCAAGTATGTCACCCGGGAGAAAGACCTAGGTGTATTAATTGCACTGGACCTAAAAGCCACCTAGGACACACTAAGTAGAGTGGTCGCTGCTAACAGGATGTGGGGTGCCATAAGAAGATCATTCCTTCGAATGACACCAAAGATCTTCAGGCTACTATTCACCTCACGTAGGAGCTATTTTCGAGTACGGTCTACCGGCTAAGTTTACGCTTTCAAAGCTAGTATGTACCTTAATAGCAAGGGTCCAGAGATGAGGCTAAAAGTTTGTCTTCGGACTTCGGGATTTCCCCTTCCCACTTTGACTCCAAGAGATGAACCTCTTCTCACTGGACTACCGTTGCCACCGTAGATACCTCATTTTCACCAGACGCATACTAAGAGGAGAACTTGAAAATGAACTGCGTCAGTTTTTTAAACTCAACGTAGGAGGCTCAACACGAAGTCGCACTTGGAAAGTATTTAAACCGAGGATGCTCCGAGTCCGCTCCGCCGTCTCTCTTTCTACCCGGGTGGTGAATGACTGGAACAGCTTCCCAGAAAGCGTAGTCAGCGCACAGACTGAGGAAAGTTGCAAGCGGCTTTTGGATTCCCATCTGCGCGTTGTGCCTGGACAGCACTTTTCCTCTGCGTCTCTCCTGATCAGTTGTGGACTGTTGGGTCGCTATGGTGCACTTGCTTCTCTGCTAAGCTAGAGGTGACGGGACTAACACGAGACTTCCCTTCTGCGATCTACAAATCAATGAACTCAATGAAACAATGCACGCGCAGTTATGTGTGAAGAGAAATAGAATGGCCAGAGCGGACGAAGCGAGAGCCGAGTTAGAGTTCGACCATACGGTTCGCCTCCATATCACATTCCACATTCTACGCTGCTACAGTACTTGAAATTTTTGAACACGTCTTCCTCCTCAAAATGCTGAAGATTTGTTTCTCGTCACTCTGTGACCTCTTCTAGAGGGCGGTAAAGAGAGAAGACTACTCCACCCATACTGGAAGCTGACCGCGTCTCAGTCAAATGTTCAAGCACTTGATCCAGGATATCGAGCTATCAATCATGTAAACAGTACCCTTTACCCATATCCACTAGAATTGCCCAGCTGTACACACAAAACACGTGGTAAAATGCTGAACATCGCCGAATTTACTCACACATTAGATGTACTAGTTTGTCTAGAGTCGAGTCATTAGAATAAAGGCGGTTATTTGACATCATGACTCCCCAACCTACTCGCATCGTTTTGACTTGTCAGACTGCATTCGGTTTTGCCAATAAGTGCATCTAGCCAACTGTTATGCGATAGTATGGATTTGTGAACGTTGGCGAATGCGGTTAGGAACTGCGTTCTCTCTTCGCTAGCCATATAACAACTGTGGATATGCAGACAATGCGGACCGCCATGCACGCACGTCCCCCTTGTGGTACCCGATCGAATCGTAAAGCATCTAGCCCGCGGACGATCAAAGACGGTTTGTACATTACTTACTTTAGGTTATTGGTGGTTTTGTGAGTAGTGTAATTTTTGCAGAAAGTAGAAGCCACGATTAAATTTCGCACAATAATCTGCCTCGACGGGGAATCGAACCTCGGACGTACGGATTACCGGTCCGCTGCTCTACCAACGTTGTGAACCAAGCAGAAGTCCTGTATTAAATTGCACACTTGATCGTCAGCCCTCGGTAGCTCAGTTGGTAGAGCAGCTGACCGGTACTCCGTACGTCCGGGGTTCGATGCCCTGTCGATGCAGATTATTGTGCAAAGTTTAATCGTGGCTTCTGCTTTCTGGGAAAATTATTTACCTTAGTCTAAAAACATTGTAGAATTCTTGCAAAACAGTATGCAAGGAATATATTTCATTTCAAATTACCAGACATCATTCGCCGCTCACAGTTCCTGTTAGTTCCATGTGAAGTCAAAAAACTACACATCAAAGTGCAACTCAAGAGTATGTCTAAGTTTTTGGTTCACGAAACAATCCCCTCTGTGTTGACAGGCAAAATCACAGTGCGACAGTAACACCCATGAATGCATGCTGTGGTACCCGAGTAAAACAGGCTAGGCTGGACACTTGGTAGATCACTACGCCATGTACTCACCAATTTCTTCAGGTTGATGGTAGAGAGGCATATCTACGGAATTAGCCAAGCCGATTTACTTATGTGGATAACCTACAGGCCTTTTGTTCGTCGAAGCAACAGATTTCGCGGTTGATAGAGTAGCTTAACGGCGCATATGACAAATTTCAGGTCACCTGTGAGGTAGGACAGAAGAACTGTCTGCCATACTTGGACATCCTCATCAATTGCAGGGATGGCAGCCTAATCAGGAGGTCGGTTTACCAGAAAGTAACATGATCCGACCAAGACCTGTCTGCATTAGCTTCATACCAGTGCAGCATAATCTGACACTTTTGAGTACAGTACTTAACCATGCTAGGCGAATTAACTCGACTAATTGTTTAGGTGACTAAATAAGAGTAATTACGTCCAAAGTCCTGACATGGTTAGCCTAGGAGATTTGTAAGCAAAGAGCCAATAGCGAACCTATTTGGCTAGATGTTTCCACTTACATCCAGATGGTTACAGGTTCGATGCCTGCTCTCTCTACCAGATGAGATCAAATCACTTCGAACTTGGTCGTGAAGTGTGGTGTTTTCGGATGGGCGACACCCAATATTCATCTGCTTCCTCCGTTATGGAACCATATACTTTAAGTTATATATTGCCAATGAGCAATGAAATCAACACAGCTTGTAGTTCTTCGTAAATTTCCTCTGAATGTTGTATCAAAGCCCTCAGCTTTCCGCTGATGTCACGAAGTTGTGCTCTGAATAAACAATGCAATACTGGGGCTGGCTGGAGTAACACCGTTTGTCCTTCACTTAACGCAGGGATGAATGGCGGTTGAACAAGCGACAAGTACCGGTGAACTCCGCATCAATGGCAATGAGTTGTGGTGTTGTTTGCGGATCTATGAACCCCCAGTTAAATCAGCTTCCCTTACATCTGGCGCAACAAGGGCCTACATTACTTTCCTGTAGTTTCCTTTAAATGACACACGAGTCTGGGGCTCTTGTGGTATGTTTGTACCATCTAGCAGGTAATGAATAATACTTCAAACTTATTCGAACCAGAGGAACATTATGTTGGCGTGATAGTAAATGAAGCCGGTATTCGTTGTCTAGTAATTGTCTGTTCCACCAGCCCGTCAAACACAGCGATAGGCCTCACGGAGAGTCGGATCGGTAAGATAGTGACGGGTCAACAATCGATAGTTTTAAATACTTGGCTGAAAGGAGTATCATTCACTTAGGTTAAGCATTGGTAACAGTCAATACCGTGGATTGACTAGGAAGTCAGTTTACAATTAGGATTAACTGGTACAGACAGATTCCCTGTGGACGAGGACTTAGGGATATTGAATCTTTGACATTTCGCTCATTATCTAACAAAACATAGGAATCCAGTTTCGCGCACACAATTAATTGGGTCAGAAGTCAAACCGTAATCAGGCATTGAAGCTACACGGCTTGGCTGTTCACTTGAATGTCGTATCGGGCTCAAGAACCCAACGGTCCGCCTGAGACCGAAGGGATGAAGTGTCTGCATTGCAACCCAACGGCCACGGATTCGAATACAGGTGAATTCGAGCGACCGCGCAGTAACCTGAGCCCACGCGCGACGGATGGTGATGACGTAGCAGCGAAGTGTCAGTGAAGCGCACCGAAGAACTTCTGATACCTCTTTGTCATACAGCCAACGTATTTCCATGGTCCTTCGTCTCGCATTGACAGAAGTTTTGAAAAGGCATGTCCTATGTGCAGTATCTTACAATAAGTCAGGGGACACAGAAACATTACTTTAGAGGGTGTAAATCACATGCTTTAGTTACAAAAGTCTCTCTGTAGACCGTAAAACATTGGAAAGTAAATGACAGATCTAGAATAGCGTCTACCGAAGTTGTAGAACTGTGATGGTTCCATACTGGCCGGGGTTCATCATAGGCAGCAGAAGGATGAGATCGTTTTTCAGTAAGGAAACATTTACCCACATATCCTGGTTCATCTTATGGGTAGCATGCAGTTGCCAACATAAAAGAAGCTATGGTTCAGGTTCTAAAAAAACAATGACCCGTTTTACCTGTCGCCCTAGGAATGGGACGAAGTCCGTAGCTTCAAAATCAAGTAAAGCGATGAAACTCCCAGTTATTTTTAACTTACCGAATTCCTTTTGTTATAGGCCTGGGAGAGCTACCATACAAAAACAAACTCAGATACAACTGCACTCTTGGCCAAAATTCAGGCTACCTGCCCAAACACGTGCATTGGAAATCCCTGTAGACGTCTGGAGAACACAAAAAACACCGAGTATTGTGAAGTAACCGGACCTTTTGAGGTAACTCATTCGTATTGTAAAGCTGGACTGTCTTTCTGTTGTTAAGGTTAAGGCAATTATGTGGATGCTGTTTCTCATCCAATTTCCAAGTTCTGCAACCGTTTGAAAATAAACAACAAGGCTTGTTTTATATAAGTTGCAGGGTCAACCATGGTGAAACAGCGCTATGGTTTGCTGACAAGTTCTTTATGCGATCGAGTTACGACGCCACCACCAATCGCCAGTTGTTTAACGATTCATATAAGATCACAAGATGGTTAGTAGCCACGAACCAGTGTGATCCGCTTCGAAAGGCACCTCATGGTCAGATGGAGTTACATTCACTTACACACGGGTGTTCTGCAGAAGTTGCACAGCACGTGCTTCTTCCGTCCTAAATCACAGTGTTCATTGTGAGCCTGTAAACAGGTTATCCGCTCAGGTCTACGTCGGCTGAACACGATAGGTAGCAAATACTGGAGCATCTGTATTGGTGTGCGTGAGGCCGCATGAACATCACATTCCTGATTGGAACACTGTTGCTAATTGTGAAGTTTTCCGTTGCATTTCAAGGACCGTACCAGCATGTCATTCCTTTGCACATTGGTATTACAGAACGAGTATAAATGCGATTGCAATGAGAATTCCGAGTGGGATTCCGATAAACTGCTTTGCCGACCCACGGCTATTTGCAATAACGAACAGATTCGTCCTTGTCACCCGGAGAACACAATACGCTGTGTTACCGTTGACGACTATGAGGTGAAATGCATCTGCAAAGCGGAATTTATGGGTGCAGATTGTTCACTCCCGCGGGATGCCTGCACAGAGAGACTAAATAAAGTAAGTCGTTGACACATGCATCTGATAGCACGAAGAACGATGCTTCTCCTCCAAATCACCAATATAGTATCCACAATTGTCCTTGGTCCTTGGAGCTTCTTCAGTTTTTGCTTTGTTTTCCGAACAATTGCTCTTGTTTGACTGTATCACAAACTTTCAGTTCTTTGGTCCCTTTGGTAATTTCGGTGGCCTTACCTAGTTTTTATTGATGAATTGCGGTAGAATGAGCTTGTAACTCCAGGCTCGAATGCCCCCTGCAGCTTGTTCGGCAGTTAACTCTTCACTTTTAATAGTAGAGATGCTTCAGTCCTTTTAGTTACAATCTGTTTGCTTAAACAATTTGCTTTCGCTGACGCAGTGGATGTCCATTTTACAAAACTGACAAATGCGCATCTCCTTTCTGTGATTCTAATGGCTTGCTTGAACACGCAAGCATCGTAAGTTATGGAGTATCTCCTTGCATTCGCTTGAATGAAGCGGTCTGAATGCGTGATACAAACTTCCCGACATCGAGCTCGAGTATATAACGTTTCTTCTAGTATAACGCCGCACTTGAGTTATGCATTGCGATCTCTATCGTTAGTTTCCGTGTTTTTGTTACAAGCCGTTAGAACATCCCCTTTGACCAAAAAACCTCGAAGAAAGGAGACACCTTGCGAAGCATTCACGCTTTCGTTGCTTCCATCAGTTGCACCTACCGTGCAAGTAATATGTATGCGCAATCGTTAATGTCGGACACCCATGGCTGCACGTGTTGTCTATGTTTCTTTGTGTGCCTGGACCTAACTGAGTGATCTCTGGGCACATGGCAACGATTGATTTGTCATAAGTAACAATGCCTCATTTACTTTTAGTAGTTTCCGATTGCTACCGTGTACTAACGTCACGTCCTGATGAGTCACAGTGGAGTGCCTTGGTTTGAACGAGTCCGTCTAATTATTCTTCTCTTGCTGCAACATCGGTGACCCTCATGGCTCTGTAAACTATTCGGCGGTTCTTTGAGCCTGTCGACAATCCGTTTTGTCCATGCAGTCCCTATCATAACTACAGATGGACTGTTGAATATCGTAAAAGAACAAACTGCCCTGACGGTTACATGAAGTTAGTGTTTCTGTGTGATGATACCGTCGCAAGTAGACAGCCGTGTATAGCGTATCATGCGATTCCCTGAATTCGCTCTTGCGGGTGAGCTATTTAGTCAAAGCCTCCGTGTGGTGTCCCTTAAGTCAAATCTTTACTTCGGCTTGGGCGACCGGGTATTAGCATGAGCTCTAACAAGAACCATGGACTGTTTTACGACCTGCACGTCTGCTGTTGCTGCTGCTTCTTACATTCACGCGACTTCACGACACGCCAATTGTTTGTTTGCTAACAATTCTTATTATCTGTTGAGCGATTTCTGTGTTCTTGACTCTTTTTGCCATTCCGGTTGCTCCGCGAACTACGGAACTCACCCTCAGCCTCTCCTTCGACCCCGATCCTCGTTTTGTCTGGCGTGTTTCTACGTACTAACACCCATGCAGATTGGACAGCAAGCCGGTCTTGCGAGCACTCTGGGGTCTGTGGATGTTGGTGTCTGCTGCCTTTCATAAATCTGATTGCATGATCTTTGCACTTTGCTTACGCAGACATCCCCCACAAACCACGAAAACAGATATCACCTGCGTCTTTCTGAGGATCCAGAAACAACCTCAGCGTATTTGGCTTCTGTAGGTATAGCACTGTGTCAAGGTAGAGGCGACATTGCTGGAACGTTTCCCGATTCACAGCCGACTGTTTACAGTTCGGCTTCGGGGTTCATGTAGAGTCAACAAGCGTCGCGAGGAGAGACACACCCTGCTTGTGATCTCCGCGTACGCACCAAATGACTGCAAAAGTGGCTTGGTCAGAGACCACTGTTATCGGGAGCTTCACCAGCTCTTGCGCTACGATAAAATATCGCATCTCGTTGCTCTTGCTAGGGAGTTCAATGTACCAGTTGGCAGCCTGTTATCACACAAACGCCACCGTGGTGCTCACCACGCACTCGATGGGGACAGCCCAGATAACGGACAGAGACTTCTCACATTGTGCGAAGACAGCCATCTGTTTCGCTCGCGCACCAGCTTCAGGCATACGCAAAAGCGTTCCGCAACTTAGCGTCCCTCTTAGCCAACTCAAGCCTTGTCCCAAACTGATCACATTACAATCAGCCTCAGGTGGCTTGGCTGCGTACTGGACCGCAGATCATTGGCTCAGATCATGCACTGATCTGCGTGAAGGTCTACATGTGTTTGGGGGGATCCCCAAAAACGAAGCTCCGCAAGCTCGGTGCAAACAGATTAACTGATTCCTCAGTCCAGGTGAGCTATCAATCTTTACTGGCGTACGCACTCAGTTGCAATTCACCGCAAAACATATAGCGGCACTGAACGTGGGCACAGAAGGTGATGACCACTTCCGGACAGCCAAGCTGCGGCCTTGCCTGACGCCTCTTAAAGGCTTGGATCTCTGCTCACTCTCTGGAGCTGTTCGATTTCCGCAGAGATATCCCGGCAGAATCAGATTGTAACGAGCGGCGCCGCTCTGTCAACCTGCTGCCCAAGCAAATCGTGAGCAAAGATCACGAGGCTTGTTAGTCAGTGTGCTTTGGAGATTGAGACCGCTGATAACTCTGGCAACAGTCGGATGATTTTCCAACTCATTCGGTCCACTGGCCTCAGGAAACCTGGTGTCAGCTTACGCGTGGTCGTCAGGCCCCGGATCCGCAAACAGTGTTTGGTGCGGTAATAGAAGTCTATTGTTTGGTCTCGGATCATCTGCTGTGGGTCTGCATTCCAATACGCCATCTCAATGGGGGTCACGGTTTACTTTGAAGTGTATCGCCGCAACTTTGATCATTATGACCGCAACAGTGGCCTCAATTGAGATTTCGTGTCGAAGAGGCGATGTCAATGGTATTGCAATCATGGTAGGCAAACATAAAATGTGAGCCATAAGACATACGAGTAAGACAATTCCTTCGAAATATACAGGCCGCAGGTACAAATGTGCTGCACTCTGTTGTCTCGAACTCAAATAAACCAACTGCGAAACACCCGTATCAAAGAGTCAGCAAACTGGCACGATGGTGCCGGTCTAGCACAGCAACCTGAAGGTCTAATGCGTTAACAAATGAAATGCTAACGTGCAAACGCTCAACGTCTCCACCGTAAGCTGCCAGAACTGCACCATCGGTTTAAAACAAGTGTGCCTATCGTACTAATGACGGAAACCCAGTTCCCTGAAAACATACTAGATCCAGAGTTTGAACTCAGAAATATCGGCCATGCGGAATGATCGGCCATCTCACGGTGACAGGGTTGCCGCCAATTACCGAGATCACATCAAATGTAAGCCCGTACCGAACAATCAATTTTTCCTTGACGCCATATTTTGTTAGCCGCACTTAGCAATTCGTGATGGTAGATATCCAAGTAAGACGCATGATCTTGTCTTCTGGTGGCTGTCTACAAACATTCGAACTCCTCTGCAGACACCAAAACCTTTCTGTTCAAATCTTTGTACTGCGATGTGTCAAAATTGTCCCCGCACTGCTTTATAAAGGGCGCTTTCAGAGTGCCTTCAATAGTAACAACGTCCCCCGGGGAGTCATCCTTCAAATCAATACCTGGAGTTCATAGACACAGTGGTTTTGCATAACTAAATGGGCCGACCAAGCAGACACCGCGGCTCGAACCGATAATCACTTCTGCTTACTCTCGAATAATGAAGTTAATGTTTGAGTAATTCTCATACGACCTTCCCATAGGTAGCACCAATTTAGCAGCCCTTACGGTTGGTAATGCTTTATGCTGTCTTTATAAAAAGGACGAAAATCTAGCCGTACTACTACTGGTAATTTTAAGCTTTACAAATTAGCGCAAACCATTGGCTGGGATCTCGCTGCGAAGTTTGTAGAACTACACGTGGAATATATTATAGGATAAACTCAAGAGGATCATTCAGGCTACCTCATACCTTGCGCCAGTAAGAAATGCGCACCAGACTAATATCTGGAACAGAAACAAAACTCATAAATAGAGCAGCAGAAGTGGGGAGACTTGTACTTACCATGCACAAAACCCATGTGATATCACAGGGGACAACTACGAGATTGTCAGAAGCTACTGCACATCACTCCTCAGAGCTGATAAGCACGAATGACAGGAGGCTACGGTACTCAATTTTACAAGCAATCTGTAACTGCCTTACAAGTATGTGTACGGCGCCAGAAAGATTAATTTGGGGCTGCCACCACACATGACGGATGGTGGCCTAACGACTACTGCTGTGGCTACCGCGAACATTCTGCTCCTGCTGTTTGGCTAGATGGCTATAAAAGCCATGGATAATTCTCGCTAACTTTCCCCAAGTAAACAACATCAGTTTGTCCAGTGTAACCGTTGCTTTAACAGCTATCGCAAGCAAACTACAGTATTTTACCTAGAAGGCACTACCGCTGGTTAGGCAAAATTTATTCATAGGTTCTCAGAATCCTTACATCACTCTAGCAGTGGACCTTGCAGTTTTTCTTTAATGTCTACTTGAAATGTTTACTTGGATCAAAAAGGCAACAGAAAATGCAGGATGTGTATCAGTGTTCAAACAAGGGGTAGCAGACTCAACACAGAGAATACTCAACTTTAACCGTCCGGATTTCACACAGCCAATGGGTGGAGAGTTGCTTTGTTTCAGTCGGCAAATGAAACAGGACTGGTGACATGGTGATGAATCGGTCACAACAGTAACCAATTCAACCGGAGGAACTATTGCATTCCACTGGTCAAGCTTCAGGGATACAGTGTAGGACTAGTTAATACTAGTCCGAGACGATGCGCGGAATTAAGCGCGGATATCAGAAGGCAATTGGAGTCGGACACAGCGGACTGTATTCGATGGGCTACAACAAGAAGCGGACGGATGAAGCGAGGCAAGAGCGTACACGTGAGCGCGGGGACTTACAAGGCAGTTGTGTGTCGAGCCGGTTGTAAGATTAAAACAAGAAGGAGTAATGTACAATCGGTCAACAAGTAAATTGTACATGAAAGATAAGAGTTATCTTTTTGGGCGCTACAGAGCTCCCCTCCCTAGAAGGCTGAACATAGAAAGCCTTCGAAATCGAAAAGGAATATTGAAACAAGGTTCGTAAGGCGAAATCGTGCCGAGTAAAAATGGGCGTGTGTTCGTGTAAATGGGGGTTCGTCGGAAGTCGGAGTCCGCTGTGCCGTTTATGATTTGTTATTTATTGAATGCAGGGCAGGGTGCATTTCGGCGAGCCGTTGGAGCGGGCTTGTCGGACTACAAAAAACTGGCTAGCCCAGAAAAAGGCCGACAGGACCTCAACCTCCGCTGCTGCCAAACGGTGCGCTTGGGAGTGGTCTCTCCCCCCGCCGCACCCCGCCCCGCGCCAAAACGACCCTCGTCCCACGTAGAAACGACCATGGTCCCACGGAGAAACGACACTCGTCCCGCGGAGAAACGACCAGTGTTCGCGTCAGGGTCCTCGAAAACATTCCTCGTGGGGGCCAGTCGATCGAAGGGGAGGGTTGGGGCATGTAGAGACGAGAAAATAGAAAAACACGCGCAGAAAACGCCAAAAAGAACAAACGAATGATCTGCGTGTTTAAATATTTTTTGGTTTTTGAATATTTTTTTCGTAAAAGGTTTTGCGGAGGTTTTTTGATATTTTTGTTTGTTTTCAAAACGTTAATCGACCAAAAACGGGGCAAATGTATACAATATCTACAAAGCTAAAAATATTTACACTGTACATAGTCGGAGAAACGGACGGGCTTACGCACCTCCCGACCACGGCGATTGGTCGTGGGAGGCGGCGCGCTAGATTCGGGAGATGTTGGGACGGCTTGTAGACCGAGATCGTGGTCTGGATGAACTGGACTACGATGCTGTAAGTTGGTGCGATGAGTTGTGACGTCGCACGAAGCACTACTAGACGAAGTAGGCGAGGGGTTTTCTTCCATGAAGGCGGGTTTTAGACGGTCGATGGTGACGACTTCGTGTCGACCACCGCGGTCAATAGTGCACGCCTTACTCGCACGATGCAGCACCTTGAAGGGTCCTATGTACGGCGACTGAAGAGGCTGTCGAACACCGTCTGCGCGAAGAAAGACGTGTGAACACGTAGACAGCTTCTCGGGCACGTACACTGGTGTCTTCTGCGATCGAGGAGCGGGTGGACGTAGCTCACGCATCTGGTGAGCCAATCGGTCAGTGTAACTTCCGTAGTCAAAAGTGGAAGTACATGGGGCTGGTGCTACCAGCTGTCCGGGCAACCGCAGCGTGCAACCGTAGACTAGCTGCGCTGGTGTGGCGTCGAAGTCGGTCTTAACCGTGTTTCTTAAGCCTAAGAGAACGAGGGGAAGCGTTTCAGACCATGAAGGATCTGCGTGCGCACGTAGCGCTGCCTTCAACTGGCGATGAAAACGCTCCACCATGCCGTTAGCGGCCGGATGATACGCTGTCGTCTGAACGTGGCGACAGCCTAAATCCTTAAGCAACGTGGCAAAGGTCGACGAGAAATGTGACCCTCGATCGGTGGTCACGATGGCGGGACAGCCGTATTGAGCTACCCAACGCTCCAGAAAAGCTTTCGCTACTGTTTCCGAAGAGCAGTTAGGTATAGGAATAGCTTCCGGCCACCTAGTGAATCGATCGACACAGGTCAGCAGATACACATAGCCTTTGGAAGGCGGCAGAGGACCTACGAGGTCGATGTGCACGTGATGAAAACGTGCGTCTGGCGTCGGAAACGTGCCTAATGGGCTTCTCGTGTGCTTGTGCACCTTCGCGCGTTGACACGGAAGGCAAGCAGCTGCCCAGGTACGGACGTCCCGATTAACATTGCGCCAAACGAATCGTGCGGTTACGAGTTTAACCGATGCACGAACGCCTGGATGAGACAAGCCGTGCAACGTGTCGAACACGGTCTGCCGAAACTCGCGTGGGACGACTGGGCGCGGCGTGTCCAGAGATAAATCGCAGAGTATCGTTCCGTCTGATGATGTCAGCGGAACGGGTCGTATATCCAATGAGGGAGACCTGCGTAGTAGATCAACCTCAGGATCGTTGAGTTGTGCTGTGGCCATGGCTGCCAAGTCGATAGCAGTGCCGGCGTCAGCGGAAATAGCTTGAATGCGGGAAAGTGCATCGACGACGGCGTTGTGCACACCTGAGACATGCCGTATATCGGTCGTAAACTGAGCGATGTAGTCAAGGTGGCGCGACTCTCTAGGAGAGTATCGGTCGGTAGTCGAGCCGAGCACGTAAGTCAGGGGTTTGTGGTCGGTGAAGACGGCAAAGGAGCGGCCTTCTAAGGCGTGTCGAAAGTGACGTATCGCTAGATACACTGCTAGTAGTTCTCTACCGAACGTGCTGTAGCGAGATTCGGTAGGTTGTAGACGTTTGGAGAAAAACGCTAAGGGCTGCCACGTGTCGGCTACGCGTTGCTGCAAAACAGCGCCGACTGCCACGTCCGAGGCGTCCGTACTGAGGGACAGTGGGGCGGCCGGATCGTGATGCGCTACAGAAGCTATGTTGGCGATAGCCTCTTTCAGCGACTTAAAAGCAGCGCGTGCTGAGGCAGGAAATTCGAATTTCTTGAGTTTCCCTCGGAGAAGGTCCGTGAGGGGTTGCATCAGCGAGGCGCAGTTGGGTATAAATCGTCGGTAAAAGTTGACAAGGCCATCAAAACGCCTGAGCTGTTTGAAAGAATGAGGCTCGGGGTAGTCGATGATGGCTTGAATTTTATCCTGCAGTGGCACGACGCCTGCAGAAGAGATACGATGGCCGAGGAAGTTGACTGAATCGACACCAAACGAACACTTTTCTGCGTTGATCGTCACCCCGTGTTGAGATAAACGATCAAAAAGCGTTCGTAGATGGCGCATATGCTCTTCTCGTGAAGAGCTTGCGATTAATATGTCATCGAGATACGCGTAAGCGAAGTCTAAGCCGCGACAAACTTGGTCGATGAAGCGCTGAAAAGTTTGCGCGGCATTCCTTAGACCAAAAGGCATGCGCAGAAACTCGAACAAACCAAATGGAGTCGTCACGGCAGTTTTAGCGATGTCCGCTTCGGCTACCGGAATTTGGTTGTATGCGCGTACCAAGTCGATTTTGCTGAAGATACTTTTACCTGCCAGACTGGCGGTGAGATCCACTATGTGTGGGATCGGATAGCGATCAGGCGTGGTCACCGTATTCAAGGATCGGTAGTCGCCGCAAGGACGCCAGTCACCCATGACCTTCTTCAGGACCATGTGCAGAGGCGACGCCCATGGGCTGTTGGACGGTCTGACGATACCAAGTTGAAGCATGTGGTCAAATTCGGCTCGTGCTGCCCGTAGTTTGTCTGGAGCAAGCCGTCTTGGTCGTGCGCTAACTGGTTGACCGCGCGTAACTATGTGGTGAGCGACCTCTGTCGTGACTGGTGGAAGCTCTGCAGCCGGTCGAACCAGTCGCGGGTGTTCGGAGAGGAGGCTCAAGTAGTCGGACGGTGCGTCTGCGATCCGAAATACAGGGCTGATTATCGGGGCATCTGAAAGGACACCATCAACACCTAGTTTCGTACGATCGCCTAAAAGTCTGTGGCGACCAGCATCAACAAGCAACCCAAAATGTCGGAGGAAGTCGATACCGATAATTGCGAAGGGTACAGACGCAACCATGAAGACCCACTGAAAATCTCGGCGAAGATTGAGGTCTAGGTTCATCATGCGCTGACCGAATGAAGCTATCGGAGAACCGTTGGCCGCACGCAAATTGTACGTAGGCTTCGAGTGCTTGTCGCTAGCGGTCGCTGGGATGACGCTGACTTCCGCTCCCGTGTCGATGAGGAACGTGATGGAAGAACGTCGATCCTTAACGTAAAACAGTCGGTTTGCTTGGTTATTGAATGATACGTTTGTAGTGCTAGTATGCGGGCTATTCGTTTTCCCTGGGTCGTGCCTAATACAGGGAGCCCGACAACGTCTAGCTCTTCCACCGTATTGGCGGTGATACCAACATACTTCTTCGACGGGTTTGACATTATCTGACTGAGAACTTGTAGGGAAAATGTTACGCTTTCGTGCCGAACGTGACGTACTCGGTGCAGGCACAGACGAGCCGCAATGAACGGTAGCCAAAACGTGGTCAGCATTTGACCGTGGCACACGCTGCTTTGAAGCCTTCATTGCTGCTATCTTGCTGCGAAGTAGCGCAATTTCCTCGTCTTTAGAGTCAGATCGGTCTAGCGACTGGGAACAAACATGAGATTCGGTTTTCATCGGTGAGAATACGTCACCGGAGTTACTGGTCGTCTGCTGCGGAAAACGTTCGAACGCAGCGTCTGCCTTGGTAGCTAAGTCTTTCAGGGGTGCATCTATAAACATGGACAGCATTATCGGCAATGGCTCTGGGAGACGTGCAAACCACAGCTCCTTTATCCCTTCTTCGCTCAAGAATAAGGGACCAGCGATGCGCTGAAGTTCGCGGAGCAATGCCGACGGCTTGCGATCTCCAAGCCTGAGACCATTGAGCTGCTCAAATCGAGTTCGTGCGCTGGGCCGTAACTCTTTCAAAATCGCTTGCTTCATCGTTTCATACTTTGCCTCATTCGATGGGCAGAGTAGAATGTCCTCAATCAGCGTCACTACCGACGGAGGAAGGCGTGGGACGAGCTGATTGTACCTCGGACGGTCCGCCGTTATGCCCTTATTTTCTAGTTCGATCTCGAATATCTTAAACCAAACTTCTGGACTGTGTTCCATGAAACTTGGAACAGCCAAAGTAAGCATGGTTACGCTGTGAAACGACTCAGATGCCACTCTCGAAATGTGAGTCGAAAGATAAAGAATGAACAAAATACGATAAAAGTACTAAAATTACGCAAGAAACAAATGAATATAGGTATATAATCAAGAAAAAGGAACGAACTCACCAAAAAATACAAACGAGAAAAAAATTGAATTCGCGCGTGCGAATCGGGGTCATCAATTTTGTAGGACTAGTTAATACTAGTCCGAGACGATGCGCGGAATTAAGCGCGGATATCAGAAGGCAATTGGAGTCGGACACAGCGGACTGTATTCGATGGGCTACAACAAGAAGCGGACGGATGAAGCGAGGCAAGAGCGTACACGTGAGCGCGGGGACTTACAAGGCAGTTGTGTGTCGAGCCGGTTGTAAGATTAAAACAAGAAGGAGTAATGTACAATCGGTCAACAAGTAAATTGTACATGAAAGATAAGAGTTATCTTTTTGGGCGCTCCAACAGCACTGGTGATCCCCTCCGAGGGTGGATCAATAACTTCCTCTTGCACAGCCGTCTGTATGTGAGCATTCGTGACTCTGTACCAAACACTATAAGATTAGAATGCGGTGTGCTACAAGGCTCAGTATTTTGGTTTGCTGGTTATTACTTTTCAGAAAAGATCTGGTGAACTTTAGTACTTCAAACGGTTTGATTTGCATCGACGAGATCAAAGTTTAGTGTCCGATGAAAGTGCCAGACAACTATATACAGCTTCAAAACCAACTGCACAATATTTGTGAATGGTCCATCCGCCGTCTTCTTCAGTTCAAGGGGACTCATCATCATCATCATACACGTTAGCTAGAGGTGGGGAACACCTCAGCTACTGTGCCGCAATACATGGAAAAAAGGAGAAAAAAATGCAACTGGTGCAAGCTGGCTGAGCTACCGGTAACGGATGGGCATCGTTCCGGTAAGCTACCAGCCGGCTGCTGTGCACCAAAAAAAATTACTATGCAAAATTATATAAGGCTAAATAGTGAGATCGTGGTTGGAGAGGGAGGCTAAGAGGGATGGGGTGGGACAAAGAAACTCACAGCACGAACGCCATTGATGTCGGCTCCTAGCCATGTCAGCAAGTGTATCCAGCCAAAGGTGTCCATCGTCTTTCGTACCCCAACCAGGGAGCCGAGACACTTCAACCGAGGCCAGCTTCGAAATGAGGGCTTTCATTCCTGTCGACCAAGTTATCGCTTGGCCACCCCTCCTCTTCTTCCATCCACACCCCCGGCGCTCAAACAACACACGTCGCGGGAGTCGGTGGGCTGGCATGCGTAACACGTGGCCGAGCCATCGGAGCCTGATGCGTGAAATAACGGTGCTGAGCGGTTCACTTCCTTTTCCAGTGACATAAACAAGGCGTCGAACACGCTCGTTGCTCACGCGGTGTTCCCACCAAATGTGAGCTAAATTACGAAGGCACCGGTGGTCGAACGTAACTAGCCTCTTCAGGTCCGCTGTTTTAAGCGGCCGTTCAAGGGGACTACTTGTAGAGTGACAAATTAATAAATCGTATATTCCCGTTTTCAGTGATACACGCCTGTGACATGTTCAGATAAATAAAATCTTCTTCTGGACAACAACCAGGAGTGATCGGAAAAAGTGCAACAGTAATGCAAAAGAATTCACAATTTTGTGAGGGCACAAAGGTTCATTGTGCCTCCGGTATGTTATCTGATATTACACAAAAGGTCTGTATCGAGATTGGTAGGTCCCTTAAGAATATGAATACCGAAAGCTTAGAAGGTGCTTTTGAATAATAGGAAAATGGGTTTAACACAAGTACACAGTATGTTAAAGTTTAGCTGCAAGTACTCGTGTAGGTTATTAGGCTTTTCGTGAGTGCTCGTCGCAGTTACACCCAGGCAGACAGACAGCACACATACAAGGAAGCGCTAGCCGGCCGTCTCGTCCTACTGGGACTCGTCAGTGGCGCGTACCCACCGAATCCTGTCGGATTCGAACCCACGACTTGGCACTTGTGAGCCAGCGACCTGTGCCACTGAGCCATGGGCGACGGCAGCGGACCGCTGTGACTGATATCTAACTGCGGTATAACGCGACTCATCCTCCACTGATATACATGTTATGAACGTGCAGAGGACAGGGCTGGCTCCCAGCTCAACGAATTTCCTTGCAAGCCGCCACCAACCGAGGACGCGGTGGTGGATGTGTGATGGCTGTCTGCCGAGGTCTAACTGTGACGAACACTCACGAATGTACAAGTCTTTTTAAGCACATTGTGACGGCTGCTTTGCTTAAGACTATTTCCTAATATCGAATGTTGGTTGTTGCACTCACATGGTGCTGGAGCAAGAGTGGTGCCTATTAAAGGAAAATGTAAGAGCAGACTGCTTTAAGAGTAATAGTAGCATCTACGATGAAGACGGAGAAGTGTGTTCATTGTTTTCTTCCCTCAGTACACACCTGCTGTTGATAACATTGTGGTTGGCATATCCATGTAGGGGAAAGAAGAGAAAGACAGTGAGTGTAGAGTCCTTCCCACTGCAATATTCACTCTCTGTTGTAGACTGTTTTCTAAAGCATATGAATCCCATGCCTTGTTCCTATGCTTGCTGTTCGTTATGTGACACCCCAGTCTGTGGATCACCTTTTGCACGGTTAAATATTTGCTGGTCCCTATATGAAATCCGTGCTCTGAATTACCAGCAAGTATTTCGAAAGACAATTTGTTCCAAATCCTAGTGTATCTACCAAGGTATAAGTTGGCGGATCTGGTGATTTTTGACCTGCGTTTAACTAATGAAGTTCCCTTATTTCATGTGCTTTGTAATGGTGATAGTATTATTACCATGTTAAGTTTGGAAAGAGGCATTTTCTTGTACAGGACGTTAAATCACATGATTGCGTTATGCTTCTTGAGTCTCAACCAGAGGGGATAATGTTTGAGTTTCCCACATCGCTCGAAATATTATAATGGCCTTGAGGTACCTAATAAGCGCTTTGTGAATGTTACCTGTGCATTTCCTAGTACAATGTGGTCTCCTTTGTTTGGGCTATTGTATACCATTGAGCAGTATTCCAACAAGGGACTTCAAGAGAGAGAGGACTTCGAGATTGTCATGCAAAAATTGGAAGAAGATCTACTCCCGATTATTAATCCGAAACATTGGGTTCGTTGCGTCGATGACACTCTAATATAGTCAAGTATCTGTTGCACAACAACTGCTTAACGACACCGTGGACGACACCGAGTTTACCATAGAATCAGTGAAAGAAAACAAACTCTCTTTTTTGGACGTGTACTAACCAGCACAATGGACGGTTAATTGCAAACATCGGTTTACAGAAAATGCACGCATACAGATCAGATTCTCAGCTTCAACAGCAATCATCTTAGATGTTACAAAATATGTTGTGTATAGACATTGTACCGTAGAATAGCAAATCACTGCAGCACGACGGAAGCGAAACGAGCAGAAGCAAAGCACCTATATAAGTCATTCAAACGCATCGGATATCTAAGCACTTTTCTCCGAAGGTGCTTAAACCGCAAACCCACAGAAAACGAATGTATATCCGCGACAACGAAACGTATAGTTCTGCTGTACATAAAGCACAAATCTGAAATAATTGCCAGGTTGTTCAAACAACACCGTATCAACACTATCCCACAAGTCTACCGCGATCCTGAGGAAAACATTGTAGAGACCAAAAGCAATCGAAGGCCGCAGCATAAAGCTGTGACAAGCTTTAGAGACGCCTATCATCCGGAAGCGGGTTGCTACCCGACCGGCTGTACCAGGGCTGAATCGCGTCGGAAGCTGATGAAATCCATTCGTCATCACACGGGTTGCTACCCGAACGGCGGTAACACGACTAAGGCACGCGGGAAGCTGAGGAAATCAAACCGTCAGCATGAAACAGGTTGCTACGTGACAGTGCGCAAACGGGAGTAAAATCTGTCCAGGGCAAGTGGCTTGAGTCAGCCCAGGAAGTTACAACAGGAGATTGTGACCTATAAAATGAACCATGTTCTGTGTCTAATATACTTCGGTCTAGCAGGTTTGGGTGTTCTGTTTTCGTCTCCGGCTAGGCAAAGTAGTTCCTCGGAGAGCAGAAGCGAGGTCAGTGTTACAACAGTGTTCGCTACAACAGTGGCAATGCGAGTCTCAATCGAACACATAAATGGCAGCCAGCTTCGAACAATCGCAGACACTTGACAGCAGCAGGCCAAGCCCATTGAGATGTTAATGCAGAAGCTGTCGATACAGTCCAGCCCTGGGTTATCGCCAAATGAAAGTGTCCCCTTTCCAGAAACCCTGACCAGCAGATCAGTGAATTCCATAATGATTCGGATGCTGGCGTGGCTTTCGCTTCCTGACTTCACAAGTATGAGGACATGTTTCGTGTTGATTTCGCAAATGCACTAGAAGGGACGGAAATTCTCTTGATGCTGCTGTATACGAAGGTCAAATGCACGGGCCGAAGTAAGAAGGTCACTCCGGTAAACGAACTACTGTAATCTGATCAATGTCTGACTAGGTGAGCACATTAAGTGTCGCAAGGAGAAGGATGGACCAATAGGGAAGCAGAGGATTAGCCGCTTTGTGTGTGTGTGTTTGTGGGGGGAGGTTGTGTGCACGTGCCTGTCTAGACTAGCCGTCAAGCATACTGACCGAATACACAACATTCCGGAAGTTGGGTGCAGCTGAACAGGGAATGTTTACAAAGTTCATCTTACCAAATAAGAGCAATAACCTATCCTTGGACGAAGTTGTCTCAGTCGTGTCACACATTTTGGATAAGCTGACATCCTTGTTCAACATCCGGTACAAATACCTCACGATGGCCAAGAAAGATGACAAAGATTGGGTCACATACCCGAGCCATGTAAATTGGGAGTGCGAACATTTACAGTTTCACAGAATGACCGCCGACCAGTACCAATGACCCACTTACGTTTGCGGCCTACAAGCGTCCAAAGATGCGGACATACGAACAAGAGTACTGAGCAAGATTGAGCAGAATCCTGACATCACGTTGCCGCAGGTGACTGGTGAGTGCCAGAGAATGACGAACCTGAAGCATAATGCATCAATGAACAATGAACAATGAATTTATACGGGTTAAGAAGCGTTGCTTTACAAGTCCCGTTGGATAGTTGCATGGGATATCAACATAACAATAATGATGATAAGGATAGTAAAATAGTTAATACTTTAAATATGAAAATAAGGACTTATCGTTTGCTTCGCTGCAGTCCTGCGATCCTCTTAGATTCACAGCACCCACAGTTAACAACAAATAATTCAATGATAAACTCTAGATGTAGGATGGAGACGTAGTGTTAAGTAACAAAGTGTAAGTGGATGAGTGCATCGTCCAACCGTCTTTTAAATACTGTTAGTGTCGGTGCAGATACGAACACACAAAGCTTGGTAGATCGCTTGGTGGCAAGACTCTTTGAAACGTGGGGGCGTATTGCATCTGCAGCGCGTTTGCAGCTTCCATAGACGTTCTTGTTGGGGCATCAGCCGTCTTGAGTGGATGAAATCCTTGCCTCACCTTTCGTAGGCTATTAACGTGCTTGTACAGCAGTTTGTGGTTAGCACTGAAGGTTGCTGCTATGTTCTGCTGACAGGCGGCTTTGCCTTCCCTTAACAGTTGAGTGCAGTGGTTACGTTGGACTACGTAGTTGTCCCAAGTTTCTGGTGCAGCTGTTCAAAACGAAGGAGCATGACCTCAGTGTGCAGTCAACTAGACTATTCAATAAGCACCAACTCACGTGAGTTCATCACATTACAAACCCCCATCCTTTTGTTGGTTTTGTAGAGAATGGAGTTTTGCTCGAAACTGTCTATTTAAAAATCACATTTGCAACGGATGCGGAAGAAAAGGTCCTAAAGAGCCGTGTTGTTTGGAACGTGGTCCTACTCTGTCCAGAAAGAAGCGCAACAATGCCACACCGTTCAGACGGCCTGATGGGATCTGAACGATCACTGCGACTTTCAAGCTTGATGGTGTCAACAGGCGTAAGT